GGCGGGGATTGAATCTGGCCTGCGCTTAGTTAGTGTAGCTTAGTGAGATACGCTCTCAATAGAAGGTAGGGTTGCCATAATCGTCACCCTTGGCAAGTTGATTGGTTATAACAGTACCAGATATTTTACACCTTTGATACTGCTTCCCGAATATTTCAACCACTTTTACAGAAAAAAAGTTCTAGAATATTCGAATTAAAAATAAGAATAACGATATTGAAGATCCTCTTGGGAAAAATGAAAATCTCAATGATTTGTATGTTGAATAAAATTTACTCTATTTTATTTAACAAAAATCGTAGCATAATGTAATCAAATTCTCCCTACACTGGGAGAGGTACATGTCCGACATATGACATAAGGGGCTGATGAAGAAGGCATTTAAGCAGTAGTGTCCAAAATGGATGAAAAACAAAATATTCGTTTCATAGTGTACGAGTTCCGACAAAGCCACAGTGCATATCAGGCAGGTCCGGAAACTAATATCAGCGTGACAGTTAGTCGTTGGTATAAACGCTTCGCTACGAAAAACATCTGTCTGATGAAGATTGCATTGAACAATAACGTGGGTTTAAAAACAGTGTCTTTTGATGCAGACTGCCATCGCACTCAGATGCAACTAAACAGTAATTGGCTAAATGGCTCAACCGGAAAAATAATTGAAAATCACCAAAGCCAGTTCAGCTGCTCAACTAATTATAAGACCACGCACTCACTTGCGTCCAAAATAATTTGCAATGAATAACGTGATTGACTTTTACGGACTGTAAAGTAAGAAAGAACATAGTTTAGGCGTCAGTTGAAATATATACAAAGCACCGTCTTTCTTTATTTACTGGTCTGCGAAGATCACCTGTATCCGTTTCCCATGTGTTAAATGAGGCTACCCGGACGGCACATGTATCAATCTGTCAGTTACTATTGCAAGGACCTATTAGCAGATTTGGTGACCAGAGATAAGAGCTATATTTTTAAAAGTATAACACGCGTTACGCCTGCTGGTTTCCGCAAGGAGAATATTCTCCTATGCCGTATTCCGCCGCTTAAACACGCGTTACGCCTGCTGGTTTCTGCAAGGACAATATTTTCGTATGCCATACCCCGCTGCTGTATAACTCGCACCTTGCGCATCCTATAAGCAGCTAAGTACAGTTTATGAAACGCACGGGGCATCCTGTTCCAGTTACTTCTCTAAGTAAAAGAAACTATTAACGCCTAAAGCTATGGCAACCAGTTTTGTCATGTTTTCACTGTTATTTAGGAAAAGCCCTGAAATGCACCAAATTTTACTTACTACGTGATAACGCCCGAACGCATAGGTAATGCTTCATTTATCCACACATACTACATTTGTAGTTGGAAAAACAAAGTCAGAATAGATTATCACACCTAGCTTATCCACCTAACTTAGCACTTTCAGAGTATCATTGCTTCTGAACTTTCAAAAACTAACTATACGAAATAGTTCCGTGATTACAATGATATCCAATGTACTCTAGAATTGTAGTTTACATAACTCGCAGCCGCCAAAGTTTTGGCCCGATGGTGCTCAGTATCAACGCTCAAGATTTAAAATTAATAATTGTTCTATTATTTATTGCGTTAAATATAAGCTTAATGCTGCTGTGCTTCCTATGGTGAGTGTAGAGAACTGGATACCGTTTTTATGGAAAAGAGACATTCTATCTTAGTCCTCGCGGCAGACAACGAATCTGGATTTTGATTCGAAAACGAGGATAGATGTAGATGTCTATCAGCCACAGCAACCACTTACCATTAGTCCACCTAATCACCACCAGTCCACTGTGTGCTCGCTTGTCACCCTAATACTATAAAAAAATCTATAATATTACTTTCTTGTCAACGCAATACATCACGAATCAAAGTAACCATGAGTATATCTTGTAATTTTGTAAGGCTTTAAAACATATACAAAAATGTATAAGAACGCTGTAGAGGCTTAATTTAAATTTAATAAGTTGCCATTTTCATCTTGGATTTCTTGAAAGAAAATACCTTTTGTGAGTTTTTGTGAAACGTAACGTAATACTTGATCCCATCAACTATTCATTCATTTGCGTAGGCGATACGTCGGGGAAATCCTATTATGAAAAAGGAGTAACAAAATTAACTTTCTCATATTTACATTCAACACTAAGCTAGCAATTCTCGCTTTCATAGAAAAGATTGAAGCACTAAAATAATTTCTAGAGAAATTGAATACATCCGATGTTAGGGGCTATCATAATGGATAACAACCTTATGCCATATTATATTATAATTATATATATTATACATTATATTATATAAAAATATTATATATATATATATATATATATATTATAAATATATTATACATTATAACAAAATGGGACATTGCAGCAGCATCTTCCTCATAAGAACTCAAAATAATAAAATACTTTACTGTGCGAACCCGCCCACCAAGCATAGTAACTATGGTAAATATTCAACCTATAAGGCAATCTATGGCGAATCAAATGTTCAGCTGTACGTTTTTAATAGGTTTGTAACGCATGAACGAATGATTAAAAAATATTTTCAGAATCAATTTCTGCAATTATTCATATTTTAAAATACTTCTCTAAAGTATAAAATGTTTTAAATAAATAACACTGGCTGCATTTGAGTACTCATATAGGGAGTGCCCTAGTGTAGTAGTGACTACATCATATACATTTGAATTTCGGTCATGTAGCAGTAATGATTGCAGCAAATTTTCTGGCGTACGTGAATTTATTGAAATGAATTTCTATTAGTGTAGTGCAGTATTTTTCTACTAGGACAACAATAAATTTTCTGTTAATTAACTAACAAATAATAAATAATGAATTTACACACACTTAGTTACACCTTGATTTAATAGTAGATCATAGAGATACTAAAATAGAGGGGTATTAAATTCCAAGGACAAATTTATTTTTTATAAGCCTATATATTCTACGAAATATTATTAAGTGCTCTAAAATTCTCAGACGAATATTAATAATATCCAAATTTAATGCACAATACATCCAAAAGCTTCTCTTTTAATACATCTGAATCTGAGTTGGTTCCACCTAGTAAATAAAGTTATAAAGTATTTTTATTACCTTTAAATTTTTTGTTATTCAAATTTAAGTGGAAGTGTTTAAAAGATTTTTGTAGGTACATGTTAACCGACTGGCAAACAGTTTGTCGAGAATAATGTTTGATTAAAGTAGGAAGAACAACAACTTTAAAAAATACACTAAGGACCGGGTATAAAAATGAGGAACCTAATCCAGATTGTTTCAACCTAGGACTAAGTTGTCGATTTCATATGGTTGAAAACTGACTCTTATTTTGTATGTGAACTTTGTAACTCTAAAATGACACCACATTATAGTGCTAATAGTGAAGTGATTTTCTGAAGCGGGAACACCCCCTTCGAGATATAAACACTTTTTTTTTATTTTTATTTATCTTTTTGATAATTTTTACTCGAGGAGAGTGCCTTTTAATATTAGGAGTATCTAATTAGCGACATGGCCACTACAACTAAGGGTCTTGCCAGTGAGGCCACCTCCACTCTCCTGCCGGCCTATGTTGAGGAAATAACTCACTGAGTGCATTATCAAAGCGGTCTCTGGCGGCAAGTCCGTCACAGCCGTAAATAAGAAACTCATCAACCTAGCAGCCGAGGAGATCAGAAGGTGTGGGCATAAACTAACCAGCATGTCAACAGTGTTCGCCCCTGATAACAACCCATCCCAGAGCAAAGTGGACAGCGACTTAAAATGTCGCCTGTGTTAGGAGCGAGATGGCCAAATTAAAGGGCCAAATGTCCACGCAGCTTCAACAGCAGGCACGGTGTGCCTCATTCGCCCAGGCCGCTGCGACTAGCAGAGGGCCAGGCACTCATTCTAATATGACTGCTGGGCCACCAGCCCGCGATCCACCCGTCAACAAGCCAGCCATCGTGGTGACTCCAAAGGTAACCCCCAAATCTCGGCAGGAAGCAATCGAGGCATTTAAGAGGAGCATCTCATATCGAACTACAAATTATGTACCGGCTAGGGTTCAGGCAGTGTCAAATCACAAACTCAGGGTTGAATTTGACACAACTGAACAACGTAACGACACGACATCCTACAAAAACTCAAATTATCTGAGCACGTTAGCATTGAGCCGGCTAAGGGACTGCGGCCAATGATTGTACTAAAGGATATTTCCAAAGATATACTAGCTGAAGAGATAGTTGGTATCGTCAGGAGGCAGAACACAGAATTGAAAGAGGCTTTTACTGAGGAGGATGACATGCGTCTCCGTTTTAGGCGCAGTAACAAAAACCCGGATCTATACAATGCAATATTTCTTGTGGCGCCCAAACTCTACCATAAACTCATGGAACAGGGTAAGATTAACGTCGACTACCAGCGACTGCACGTTAGCGAATTCTCACCCTTTCTACAGTGCCACAGATGTCTGCAGTTTGGGCACATTAAAAATACTGTACGGCTACTACTAGCCAATGCCTGCACTACTCCAAAGGGGAGACGGGGGACAAATGTCCTGATAAGGGTAAACAAGGCACAGTCAAATGTGCCAACTGTATATTTCACAATGATAAATTTGGAACCAAGGCGGATGTCCGCCACTCTGCCATGTCACCAGAATGTCCAAAACTAAGAGCCATGATAGAAAGAATAAATAACAGAATCGACTATGGATTTAATCAATAAAAATATAAAAATTATACAGTGTAATATTGACCGTTCAAAAAAAAGTTTACATGATTTTTTTTTTTTTATGGCAGGTGATTATAAAATTGCGTTGCTGGCGGAGCCATATATTGGAAATGAGGTGCGACCAATTCAGGGCCTCAACATATACCAACTTAGTCAAAAAGACAGAGTCAAGGCTTGTATACTCACTGAACCAGGTTGTGGCCAGGTACTAGGCATGTCACAATACTCTAACACAAATTTTTGCTTTATTCAATTCACGAGCGGCGGCCAAAAATGCTAATAGCTTCCGCATATATTGAACCGGATTCTGACGCCAATAATACTTTAGAGCACATAGATAATTTTCTCCAAACCTCCCGATGGCCCAATACAATTATAGGTGGTGACTTCAATGGATGGCATCACATATGGGGCAGTAAGACCAACAAACCCAGAGGATGTGTGGTGGTGGAGCTGGCATATGCAAATGACCTCTTCATCTGCAATGTCGGCAGCTCACCCACTTTTGAAACCGTCACACACGGCAGGGATCGGACTTCTATAATAGACCTCACATTGGCCCATGGATACATATATGACCGTATAGTCGGGTGGAAGGTCAACCTCAGCGCCTGCCCCTCGTCGCAACACAACGCTGTGGAATACGAGATTGAAATTGGGAATTCTTTCTCAAATTCGTCATCAATAACCAACTCCACATTTAAATATAACAGCAACAAGGCCAATTGGGGAATATTCAAGGATGCACTTCACACGCTTATGACCAACACAGACATATTAGAGAGAGATATCGGATCGCTTAATACAGCTGGCTTGGAAAACTTGATTGATGACATCTGCGAGGTAATTCATAAAGCGTGTGAAGAATCTATGCCGACAAAGAAAGGCCAATCCCTCACGAAGCATTGCCCGTTATGGTGGACGGTAAGATTGACGGACCTCAAAAAGGAGGTTATCCAGTTACACCACCGACTCAACCGAATGAGACGTCTGAATCTTCCTTTAGACCAACTGGCAGAGGAGTTAAAAAACAAAAAAGCGTTATATGCGGAAGAACTGAGGGCGGAGTCTTCCAGGAGTTTTAGGGAGTTTTGCGAACTACAAACAAAAGAAAACGTTTGGACTCTCACGAATAGACTCCTGAAGGACACTGCACCTAAGCGACCACCAGCCACCATGAAAATTGGTGACGACTACACCAACAGCGAAATGGAGACTGCCCAAGCACTCTTGGATCACTTCTACGATGATGATACACTGGATGATGACACGCACCAACACCAGTATCTTAGATCCAGAATCGGGAATGAGCCGGATGGAGTAGATGAACCCCCCTTCGCTGTTGAGGAGGTTTTAGAACATCTTAAGTGGATGAACCCCAAGAAGGCACCCGGCATTGATGGTCTTACATCTGACATTTGCCTATAGTTCACTATTAATTACCCAGAACGTATAACGGGAATCATGAACAGGTGTCTAGAGCTCCAACATTTCCCTCAACAGTGAAAAGGAGCGATAGTCAAAATCATACCAAAGCCGAGCAAGACTCCTTCCGCAAATTGGGCAAATTGGGCTCCTTCCGCCCAATAGGGCTCTTGTCGGTCTTTGGAAAGTTGCTCGAAAAATTGTACATCAAGCGGGTCACATTTTGTGCAACTAAGGCGGGACTACTCAACAGGCGTGAGTTTGGCTTCAAGGAACAGACCAGCACGACTGCAGCCATAGACATGGCGCTCAGTATCGTAAAAGCAACCAAGAAGAAAGGTAAGCAGGTGCTGGGCGTTTCTTTGGACATCCTCTCCGCGTTTGACAACGCGTGGTGGCCCGCACTATTTGAGAGATTACGTGCAATACGATGCCCTAAGAACATCTTTCATTTAATAGAGAGCTATATGACGAACTGCACAGTTACATTAGAATACGCAGGAGCGCGGGTCACTAAGCGCAACACTAAGGGCTCGGCCAAGGGTCGGCATGCGGACCCATTCTATGGAACGTGGTTCTGGATGAGTTGCTTGAGGCTGAACTTCCAAGTGGATATCATTTGCAAGCCTTTGCGGATGTTGTCTTACTTATCGTCTCCGCAAAGGATGTAAATACTTTACAAACAAACACCAACCGTGCTTTGAAAATCATTTTGGAATGGGGGCAAAGTGTAAATTGACCTTCGGACCCACTAAGACGTAAGCGATTGCGTTCATGCGCAAGGCGGAGGAAGCCCACCTTATAATGGGGAGACACACTTTAGCATTTCAAAGGAGCATTAAGTTCTTAGGTGTGATCATCGCCCGGAAGCTCCTATTCGCTGATCATGTTAAGTACGTTGTCGGAAAGGCGATGAGAATTTTCAACAAACTATGCATTTACACCCGACCAACCTTGGGAGCCCATCCTGATAACGTACAAACTATCTCTCGACAGATTATTGAGCCTACAATTACAAACGCAATAATATAATACCAGCGTAAAATAGCAGCTTATTCCTGCTGTGTTTCGTATGGTGAGTGTAGAGAACCGGAGACCTTTTTTACTGGAAAAGAGGCATTCCATCTTAGTCCTCGCGGGTGACAACGCATCTGCATTTTGATTCGTAAACGAGGATAAATGTAGGTGTCTATGAGCCACAGCAACCACTTACCATCAGGTGGACTGTGTGCTCGTTTGTCACCCTATCAGATAAAAAAAATACGCGGCAGGCATCTGGGGTCAAGCTGCGAAAAAGCGATATGTAAGGAAGCTTTTGGAGTCGGCACAAAGGGGATTTGCGATAAAAGCAATCAAGGCCTTTAGAACTGTATCAACTGTGGCAGCAGTCGCTTTGGCTCTTTTCGTGGCCCTTGGACCTCAAAGTCCTTGAGGTACATAAAGTTGAGATAGTTTGACTACAGGGCGCCAGCATCTTATTACCAATGGATATACAATATGAAAGGCCCACTCCTGCACATGAGCTATTACATCCTTCAAAGAGGGTAAGCATTGATTGTGGAGACCTGAAATCAGAGGATCAAGAACAAGAGACATCCCTTATTCGAATTTACACAGATGGAAGCAAGCTAGAGGATGACAGTGTAGGAGCGGCTTTCGTCTGCTTTGAAGGCTCAAAAGAAATACATAAAAAAGACTGAAACTACACACAAGCTGCTCTATATTTCAAGCGGAGCTCTTAGGGATCAAAGAGGCCAGCGAGTGGACTTTGGACTGGCGATTGAATCAAGGTGATGAAACACATCAAAGAGGCAAAAGGATGCACACATGCCGAAAGGAGATTATTCAGATCTTGAGTGACTCTCAGACTGCATTGAGCGCACTCCAAATGAGATCCAACACCCACCCCGTTGTGGCAAAGACCCATTATATAATATACACAGCGGCCCAAATGGACCTTAATATCATGTTCTCATGGGTTAAGGGACATATAGGCAACTTAGGTAACGAAATCGCCGATGAGACTGCCAAGGGTGCTGCCACGCAACATAAAAGCTCTGATTATGCGAAATTCCCGATGAGCTTTGTAAAAAGGACTATGAAAGCAAACACTTGGATAACTTGGCAGTCAAGATATAAAAGCGCTGAACAAGGAACGCATACAAAAGAATTACTCCCAAAACTGACGGACATTTGTGCACTGTGGAAAGCAACCAAAGTATCATTTCAAATAACTCAGGTTTTAACGGGTCACGGCTACCACAAGGAATATCTGCATAGGTTCAAAATCGTCGCTGATCCCTTCTGACCTTGTGACAATACCACTCCTCAAACAATTACTCATTTGTTGAGGGACTGCCCTAGATTTGAGTATAATAGAATAAAACATGAGATGCTCTGTTGCAATTTACGTATACTACCATACCTTCTGACGAAACTCTTGGATAAACAAAGTACAACTGAATCCTTCGTTATATTTACCAAATCCATTATATATAAGCTTAAAAGATTCAATAAATTGTAACTAATAGATATAGACAATGTGTATATATTTTCCACTTAATTTCATATTTCAAGATAACATATATAATTATTACTCCTCCTTTCAAATTTTATCTTTATTCTTAAGGATACAATAATATGTAGATTAAGCATTTAGGCTAGTTATTTTAAGTTCATTACAAATTGTATATACTCATAGCTATACACAACTATATTATTATTATCTTTCACAAGCTAATCGCACTTGAACAATTTTATGATTCACACATTGTTTTCGACTATAAGATATTAATATTAATTAATGATTGCTAACAAATCATAAGCTAAAGACAAAATTATAAGCAATAGATACAAGAATACCCTGTATTTTACTTATATTATTTTGTATTTCTATAGGCAATCCCTTTCATTTTACCTATGTTCATAATATTTATAATTTGCAATTAAGTTATAATGTTTAGAGTATACATACGAACAATAGATCTTGCTTTGTTACTATTAATTTCACTTTGTGTAGAATAAATATGTAAGTGATAATATGATGAAGATTGATACCTCATCAATGTAACAAATCGCATTGATGTAGCGTTATCTATCTAGGTATCTTGTCTTAGAGATTAACAATACATGCAATATAGTTTAAGTTTAATAACAGTGGTAGAGCCACGCGGCGGCTTTTGCTGTCGCACGGATGGGCAGGCTCGAACCGGGGTGGTACCACGACCTCACAGAATACCAGCGTGAAGTAGAGGTTCACCTCTGCGTTTCGCTTGGTGAGTGCAGGTGGCCGGAGGCCCTTTTTGCTAGAAATGAGGCATTCCATCTTAGTCCTCACGGGTGACAACGCATCTGCATTTTGATTCGCAAACGAGGATAGATGTAGATGTTTATGGGCCACAGCAACCACTTACCATCAGGTGGACTGTGTGCTCGTTTGTCACCCTTATCCTATAAAAAAAAAAACAATTTCATATAAACCTCACTGTGTAAAACTGTCAATAAATTCCCAACAAGGACAGTATACTCCATGTTGGAAAATCATAAAAAAAATCCAGTTCTGCAAGCCCTAGTTGCAGGTACTCAAAATACTACTTATGTATGATTTTAATACGTTACCCCCACTAGGATTTTCTCGTGAATCTATGAATGTTTTTCACATACATAAATTGTAGAATGACAAACATCCAGACCTAGAACAATTATTTGTAGGCCATACAAATACTTGTTCCGTGCAGCGCCATAACCCATTGGTAAGCTACTGGACCACAGACCCGCCATGCCATAAAATATGCATTGTGACAATAAAATGTGCCAAAATCATGGTAATTATTTTCACATTTTATTATGAACAATTTTAAATAAAATGACGCACTTTTATCCAATTACATAACTCGTATACAAATAGAATCAATGTCAGTAAATTATTATTTTTTTTCCTATTATAAGCCAGTGCGTATTATGCGTTAAGTAGCTATGAAACCATACATTGTGAAGCAAATTAGCATAGCATTTTAAATCCTTTTTTTAAATTTTTATGGTTAACCACTTCAATACCGAGCAGTTAAAATATTCTATCCATAACATTATATAGCTAATTGGCAATGGCAGTTAAACTAATCTAATGGAGTCATTATGTAGTTGATTAGAAATAGCCGTTGAACTAATCTATTCAAAAAACTATATAGCAGATTAGAAATAGCCGTTGAACTAATCTATTCAAAAAATTATATAGCTGATTAGAAATAGCCGTTAAACTAATCTATTTAGAAAATTATATAGCTGATTAGAAATAGCCGTTAAACTAATATATTCATAAAGTTATATAGCTGATTAGTAAAAGCCGTTAAACTAATCAATGCAAAAAATTATATTTCTGATTAGAAGTAGCCATTGATTGGTTACAGTCATAAAACAAGTCTATTAAAAAATATAGTTGATTAGAAATAGCCGTTGAACTAATATATTTAGAAATTTATAGGGCTGAATAGAAATAGTCGTTAATTTGTAATAGGTATTAAACTAATCTATTCAAAAAATTATATAGAATATCATATAGCTAATTATTTATAGCCGTTTAACTACACTCAGGAAATTATATAGCTGAATTTCTATATCCTTAAAACAAATCTTTTCAGAAAAATATCAAGCTAATCGGTAATAGCCGTTATAGTAATATACTCGTATTTCAAAAATTATAAAGCTGATTTGTAAGTCATTAATCTAATCTACCTTAAAAATATATAATTGATTAAACATAGCCGTTAATTAGTAATAGCTGTTAAACTAATCTATTTAGAAATTATAAAGATAATTGGTTATAACTACTAAACGAATCTATTCACAAAATTATATAGCTAATAATAAGGGAAATAAAAAACATAATATAGATGTAATAATTTTTCGTTTACGTGAACACTACACATTTAAGTGAAAGTTTCATTTATTATATGTTTAAGGATTTTATAGCATAAATTATTTTATATTATGTTCCCGACGTTTCAAGTACTTTACATAGTTAACCACGGTTACGTTCTGTTTAATATTATAAATTTTTGTTTCGATCTATGCAGATTATGTTGAATGCTAGGGTTGGAATTTTTTTTATTATAGGATCCTAAACAGATCGTAACACCCAGCCTTGACTAGAGAATCACTAATAAGAATATCAGTCCTCCCGATGACAAAAAAATTACTGTAACCCATGGTCACCTTTCATCAACTTCAAACAAAGTAAGCTTACAGATGCGTCCTTTCTCTTACAACTAAGATAAATGTTTAATCTTCTACTGACTCGCATACCTTAAAGCTGGAATACAACAGTGCGTGCACTCTTGCTTAGTGGCAGGATAGGAAAGAAGCTTAATGAGGTTCTTTTTTTTTAATAAAACAGTAATTTAAAAATCCGACAGTGTTAAAAGTTAACTGAAACAGGACATTCAGATTCACATCAGAATCAGTCCAGAAGTAGACCCTTATGGGCTGATGAAAGATGAACGAATGGTATCGGTGAGAAGTTCTGAAAATTTAAAAAAATCCGTAAAACTTCTCTGACCAGACAACAACTATTCTTATTCTTATACTAGCTGTTCCCCGCGACTTCGCTCGCGTGTAATTTAGGATTTTAATTATTTTGCGCGAAACCCTAATTCCTTTTGTAAAATATAAGTAG